CCATAGGCTGACCTTCGGAGACGCGTAAGTTGTGAATGTATTCGTGCACTTCGGTCTGTTGATGGGCGAAAATCGAAAAGGAAAGAATGGAAATTAGAAAAAGCTGGCAGAGCGAATGTTAAAAGTAGTTAATGTAGAAAGTGTGGAGCATGTGTGGTATGTAAGTGGATCGCATTTGAAAAAGATGAAAAGTGGAGTCGATTTAATCTCAGGCCAGTTTTGAGTATCAAACAAGTAACGGGAATTTTGAACGAAATTTTTTTTCTAAAAACACTTAAATTTTGATGAAAATAGCGGCAAAAGCAGGTCATTTCACGTGTGGATGTTGTTTCGAGCTTACTTGAGGTGCTTGATATATGGAAAATTAAAAAAACTTGCTTGGGTAAATGTTTAGTTTGTGGAACGTGTGTGGATTGTTGTGGAATGATGGAGTGTGGAGCTTTTTAAATTTCAAGCTAGTTTTGTGTAAGAAAATTTAATATAAGCCATATTTGGAAAGCATTCAGAAATTGTTGGAACGCAAATTTTAAAATATTTTTTTGTTTTGAAAAAAAATAATTAACTTTGATAAACAAAAATGGAAATATTTATGTGTTTGACACGTATAAAAAAAGTGAATCTCGGAAGAGCAAATGTTTAGAGTAGCTTCGAAAGTGTGAAACTTCTGTGGATGGTAAGTGGATCGTATTTTAAAATGTTCAAATGTGGCGTCTATTTGAATTCCCGACTAATTTGAGCATGAGAAATGTATACTACTAGCAAGCGGAACATATGTGGAACTTGTGGAACTCAAGTTTTAGAATTTTTTTTTACGTGTACCATTTATTTGTGAAAACGTTTTCTAAGCGAAATTATTTGTTGGGCTTGACATGTGTAATACATGTATTCATAGCCAGTTTCACGAAAGCAATTTTTGTGAAAATTTTTTTGTTTGAATTTATTATGACAGAAGGCAAAAAATAATTTTAAACTTACAGAAGGAAAAAAATAATTTTACACTTAAGTTGCTGTTGAAACCAGTTAATGATAGTTTTTATTATTATTTTTTAATGGACGCTTACCATAATACGCTTCTCCATAACATGCTTTCCATTTCCCATATAAGTCATGCCGAATTGGCGTAGTTTTTCGTGCAAAAAGCGACGCTGATCCTTCCACAGTTTACCGGTGCTATTGATGATTCCTGTAAGGAGAGAAGACCACAAAAATAAATTGGTTAAAAAATTGTTTGTAAAAGATGGCAAATTTACTTATAAGAGTGAAACTATATTATCCTAAAAATTTTGAAAGTATTTCCTACAAAACCCAAATTTTTAACTTTTTGTTTTGCCTTTTTAAACTGTTACTATAAAAGCGCAATTAAACGAAACACTAACACACTAACCAGCCTCCTTTGCTTTGTGGCGGTGAAATTTCAATTAAACTCCAAGCCAAAAAAAAAACATATTTATCGGAGAGAAAATGGAATTTTTTACACTTCTCAACGGAATTTTTCGTAATTTAAGTGCATTATACAACAATAACAATTTGTTGACAAACAAATTACACCAAAAAATAATACCAAAACAAAAAGGGTGCGAACAAGAAAAAGAAAAAATATTAAAAATTTTGAAGTGCCTACCAATTTTTGGTATTTTTTTTTTATCGCTCGATANAAAAAAAAAAAAAAAAAAAAACACACGCACACACACACACCAAGGTCTTTTCACGAATTTTCGCTGCAATTGAGGTAGTCTTAAGGCGCGCGAGAAGTGAAAAATAAAGCTAAATAAGTTAAAAAAAAAATCAGCATGAAGCTTATGACTGAGGCAAAGGCAGCAAATGGTGAAACGGAACTACATACTTCGCAGTAAGTGTAAATTGCCGGTTGCAAAGGGTGAAGGCGCTGCCGTGTGACTGCCAGCTGTCCTACTTTGTGATGCGCGCACGCACGCCCTGCTTGCTAATTACAAGCGCAGAAAGTACAGAAAGCAAAGGAAATTTAAGCGAGCGCGCACGCCGCGATAAGACAAATTTGCGAGTGTAATAAAAGTGTGAAAAAGGCAATAAAAAATTTAATAAAAATTAAAATCAATGTAGGTACATAAATCTGTATGTGTAGCAAGTGCTGAAATTTTGAACAATGATAAGAAATAACGCTGCTGGTTTGGTGAAGTCAGAGCACCTTTGCTCTAAAATGCGAAAGAAGCGATTCGAAAGGAAATCAAAATACACCAGCGCCAGCGCCAGCGCCAGCATGCACAAATGCAGCAACAATGTAAAGCGGAAGAAACGCGGTGCTTAGTAAATACATAAAATAGTACTATTAGCACTAATTGTGTCCTGGGCATGCTCCGGCGACGCTGCCACCAACCAACCAACGTAAAGTTACTTTAACGGCCGAAAAAATAATTCAATGCTCTTTGAAACGTGATCGTGGCAAAGCGAGAAAAATATTCCTTCGTAAATTGAAAAAAAAAAAAATACTAAAATCATCTCGCGAGTAAATTAGAAAAAAAAAATATATAACTAAAACCGCAATTCAAAACATAAACTGCTGTTTTCATTGGTTCATTTTTCATGCTACTTTGCATTTTTTTTTTGCTTTCGGCTCTCACAATTCGTATTGTTCTTGCTTGTTTATCACTTGTTTATGCTTTCGATTTCCATATCAGCTTACGCCCATACATATGTACCTACATATATACATACATATGTGCATACGTATTTATTTCAAAAGGTGTGAATTTTGCTGTTATTCTTTTCTTTAAAATTTATTTTCATATTTTTTTTGTTTGCAAAAATTTTGTTTACATTTTTGTTTGTTGTTTGTTCCAAACTCCTTTTTTTATATGTTTATTTTTCTCACTGAATACGCGATTTTTTATAGAATTTGGATTTTCTGTAAACTTTGTGTTTGCATATTTTTTTGTTAGCTGTTTAGTTTGTTTTTGTTTTTTTTTGGTTCGATTCATTCTTAATAGGGCTTTAGTCTGTGTGAACAATTTTTTTTTGTTTTTGAACATTTAAAGGTCTCGTAGTAATGTAATTCGAGCGGACATTTGATCGAATTTCAAAAAGTAATTCCGAGTTAATTGCGCATAAAAATAATTGTAGTGAACAAAATTTTGGCATTTATTGAATTGAAAGTTTGATTAAGCAACATACTCACCTTAAAAAAAAAATAAAATCAATTTTGGAATATTTTTGCTTGTTCCCTTAAAAGCCATTTTCACGAAAGCTATTTAGTGAAAAATTATTATTTTTATTTATTTGAATTTAATATGAAAACTGACAGAAGGGATACATAATTTTTCACTTGTGAAAACACCAGTAAGCAATAATTTCTAGATATTTAACAAAAAATATATCAACGCTGTCAAAGACTGGGTTTTCACCATCTGCTGTTAAACTTTTTATTTGCATACCGAAAAAATAAAAATAAAATTTTGCATCAAAAAAATAAAAAAATGGTAATTTTGTAAAAATAAATTTTGCGTTCTGGCAATAATTAAAAAAGTTCCAATTCCATACCTACTTTTTACGCTTTTTTCAAAAATTAATAAAATTAAATTTTACATGCCTCAATTCTAATTAGCAAATCTTAAATAGACGATCTTAATTATTTTTATTTCATTTTTGGCCTTTTAGAGATTTTGCATTTTTTAATATTTTGATAATATTTAAAATTGTGTAACATTTTCGAAATATTTAATTAACTTAAAAAATAATTTTAATCAATAAGACGGTTATTCATTTTTCTGATTTTCTTGTTATTTTGCCTTTTACGCATTTTTATAAGAAAGAAAAAAAAAATATTTTTTTAAAACCTCTCACTAAACACGTCTCCTACTCTTTGACACATTATTCACTTTCTTGCTAGAAACCTTGCTATATCAGCGCAAGTAATTTTTATTTTTATTTTTTATATTTTTTTTTGTAACAATTGTCTACTCACCAAAACCGTTAAGCGTTTGCATGAACGGCGTATCCGGTCTGCCGGTGAACTCCTCGCGTCTAAAACATTCACGTATCATTTTGTAATCACTCATCACTACAGTCAATTGATTGCCCAGGCGTGTCGAGAAGAGCGAACCATATTGCTTGGCCAATTCCATGAAGCGTGTGTGCTTCTCGTTGCCCATAAAAAATAAATAGCCGATAATGGGGAAGCCCCACGGCCCCGGCGGCAGCTTGCGCAGCTCGCGATAGGCGTTTAGCAGCCACTGCAGGAAGCTAATCAACGTGAGCACCGTGAAAAAGACAAGCAACAGGTGCTGCAGATCATTGGTTGTGCATTGTCGCGTTAGCAATTTTATAAAATATGATCCTGCAATCATTTTTGCCAATTTATTTTGTTTGATTTTTCAGTAAGGTGTTGTTTGGTGTAACAGTCAATTTAGTTTTTAATTTTCCAACTGCACTTTTTGTTTAGATTGAAACTTTTTCAGAAACTTTTTTTTTTATTGTGGTAGACAACTTTCACATTCAAATAATTGTTTTTATGCGTATATAGTCTTTTCTCTTAAAAGAGCATTAAATATATATATATATTTTTTAATAATTATCAAACTTTTATTTTACATGCGCTTTAATATAATATTAACTTGCCGGTAAAGCGCGCTTAAATAATTTTCTTATTACTTTGTATTAATTAATTAATTTCTTAATATTTTTCCAACTCTCGCCAACGCCCGTGTTAAGACGACTTCGCGTTGTGCGTTAATAGATTTCGACTAATGGCCCATACGTATGTCCTTGCTACTTTTATAACCGTCAGAGCTCACAGCCGACTTCTCGAACTAACGAGTGATCGACGACGCGACGCTGTACGCTCTACGATCGTGTTAAGCGTTTGAGCCAGTCAAAAATCATTCTTGCCGAAGCGCTAGCCAAACTAAAGCAAAGCAAAGCCAAACGAAGTGTGTGAAGCGCACCGCTGCGAGATGATACGATCGAGCAGCTGAAACCCGAGCCGGATACAACAAATGCCATCGTCGCCGCCGCCGCCGCCGCCGCCGCCACCGCTGCAGCGCTCGCCACACAGCCACACACAGCGCGTAAGTGCAGCGAGCAAATATCGAGCTGCATACGCGGTAACTCAGATGGCTAACTAAGCACACATCTCAGACAGTAAAGCTGACCACTCGCAATGAACAACAATTTAAGTTGGCTAAAGTGGCTAAAGCGCAATCCGCAGCGCTCAACTCTGACCATATGTAAATCAACTGGACACTCAAACAGTTTACTGGTTTGATCGCTAAGCTGAGCTTTAAATGCTGCTCTGCAAACAGCATGCGCGCGCCCGAAAAATCATTTTATATTACCTACCATTGTAGCTGATAAGCGCTTTTTGCAGCCGGCATTCCGCGCTCAGAATATTTCTAAGGCGTTTGAGTGTGTTCGGTTCACAATTGAGCGCAACATGTTTGAGTGTTTTTGTTTTTTTGAAGAGCGTTAAGCGCTTTTGAGTGAAGTCGCATTTCGGCGCCGCTGATTGAATTTACAGCATGCACACTCATACACTCACACCCATGTTAACGCCGCTCACAGAGCTCAATATGTCAGAGCGCTACTCCACTCCAAAACGCTCGGTACGTCGGCAACACTCTCTGTTTACGTTTTGAAAGACTTTTTGCTGACGCTCTTTGTTATCGCGCTTATCAATTGGTTCGATAGTTTGACGCGTGTGGACGTTATCAGTTTCCAAAAGAAACAAAATTGTATTGCCGCGTTTGGTGCAAACATTACGGGTACGCGCAACATGTTTGCTTGACACTTAGCTAATAATGATATTAAAGATATCTAAACAGTATCTACGTCAGCGGTGTCATCGAAAAAAAAAATTTGAAAGCTATGTATCTTAAATCTTGTTTAAGAAGCCAAATTAATTGCGACCTTTCGTGGTGCGGAAATGAATTGACAACTTCTTTGAATGCAATCTACCGAAAGGTCGTCTTTGTTGGCTTAAATATGTAGTAAATGTTGGCCACGGCGCCGCCGTGCGCTTATGCTTTTATAAATGCACATTCTTTTTATTTTTATTTTTTTATAATGCTTATGTTTGTATCATATGTATTTATTTTTATTATCAAGCTACTGCACTCTCAAGTCGACGCTGCAACGAAACACAAATAAATATTGAAGTTGTTTTACCAAAAATTCAGCGTCGCTGAGGCGCTAAAACAAATTGATGACAATCTACATACGTACGTATTTGCATTTCAGGTCAATGGCATAACCTTCATTAAAATATCTACAAATAGACATACTTACATACATATAACGAAAAGGGAGGTGAAACATTTGCGAATTAAAAATTCAAAAAAGTGTAAAATTGAAATCATAACAAATCGTTGACTCTAAAATATTGTCATAGACGATGCAAAGAGTTGAATGAATTTTTTTGACGTTTTAATATAAATAAAAAAGTGTAAGTAAGTGTATGTTTCACATTTAAAACAAAGCTTAGAAATGCACAGGAATGTAAAAAATGGGGTTCAGAAGTTATTTAATGCTAAATGCAAATGTGGCGAAAATATTTACGTACATACCAATCAATAAAAATTAATATGTAAACTCAACTGCAGAATCAACGAACACTAGGGCCTACGAACTTCGAAGGGCTGAAAATCAAAACAAAGATAGAGAGGAAATGAAAGAAAAAAATTACCGAGTAATTTTTAAGCAAAAAACAAAACCTACCTCAAATCTCATATAAAAATTTTGGAGTACCGTTAATCGGATCTAAACCAGACTACCCACCTCTGAGACACTAACTTTCCGGTGCAAAAAGAACTTTCGATATAGGGTATTTAGGTAGATGTCTGCAGAAATCTCCATCTGTGCATCGCAATGAGCATCAAATTTTCAAATCAGATTCAAAATTTCCATCAGAATTTTTATAAAAGAGGGTTTTTGTGCATTTTTTTATCCCGTTAAATTTTAGTATGATAAAGTGCTAGCTTTAAGAGGCTACAAAAACCCGCAGCTTATTTTGTTGTTGGCAGTGTTACGCATTTTCTTTCCATATAAAGTATGTTTGACAATGTTTTTACATATCGATGGTCCTCTGCAATAACGACACAACTCAAAATTCCATATTTTTCATTAGAGCCAATTAAAGATTTTGTGTTTCGTAAATACGTCTTGGAACGTAATGCTTCCGAATTATTGGCAGTTACTATGGAGGGAAAATTTGTAAGCTTTCAAATTGTGTCTTTTTTCTAAAGATTTAGTAACTAAAAACTAAAAAAAAAAAAAAAGGAACAGTCCAGCGCCTTCGTCTTGGCCTGCAGGCTGTATCGGAGATACAGCCGCTAAATTTAAACGTAGAATACGTGGTTCGGTTAAGAGCATATCCAAGTAAAAAAACAAAAGCACACACTAAGCAAAAAATATCGATAACAAAAGCGATAATAATATCGGTAGCAAAATCGATAAAAACATCGATAAAGAAATCGATGAAAATATTGATATCAAAATCGAAAAAATATCGAAAGCAAAATCGATAACAATACTGATTACAAAATCGATTACAAAATCTATCAAAATATCGATTACAAAATCGATAACTAAGTCGATAACAAAATCGATTATAAAGTCGATAACAAAATCCATAACAAAATCCATAAAAATATCGATACCAATATCGATAGCAACATCAATAAAAATATCGAATATAAAACCTATAAAAAAATCTATAACAATATCGATAGCAAAATCGATAAAAATATCGGTAACAAAACCGATAAAAGTATCGATGACAAAATCGATAGCAAAATCGATTACACAATCGATAACAAAATCGATAAAAATATCGATAACAAAATCGATAAAAGTATCGATCATTATATCGGTAAGTTCCGAAAATATCGATAGCAAAACCCATAACAATATCGATAACAAATTCGATGAAAATATAAATAGCTAAATCGTAAACAAAATCAATAAAAATATCGATGACAAAACCGGTAAAAATATCGATTACAAAATCGATTAAAATACCGACAGCAAAATCTATAAAAATATCGGTAATAAAATCGATAACAAAATCGATAAAAATATCGATAACAAAATCGATAAATAATCTATCATAAAATCGATAACAGTGCCGATAACAAAATCGACAACAAAGTCAACAAAATATCTATAACAAAATCGAGAAAAAATATCGATAACAAAATCGAAAAAATACCGATCATTATATCGATAAGTTCCGAAAATATCGATAGCAAAATCAATAACATTATCGATAAAAATTTCGATAGCAAAATCGATAAAAACATCGGTAATAAAACCGACAAAGTATCGATTATTATACCGATAAACCCCGAAATATGTACTTACGGACACATACATACTTTTTGTCTCCTTCCCACACTTCCAACATATGCACGTGTTTGCAAAATGATGACGAGGTGATTTTGTATGGAAAATCATTTATGCCCATATATTTGAATAAAATAAACATATATAGAAGATATCAA